GGGGGGAGGAGGAATGAAAACAAAGTAGCAAAGACATTACAAAAGAAAGACAGTCATCAGGTCAGCACGCAAAAAATTATTACAACTCAGGTCACGAGCATGAGATGAAAAGTCTGAAATTTCACTAAGGCATCGGATCACACTGTATTTAAATATAAAAATGAAAAAAGCAAACACTTGAGCACAGCAAAAACAGAGGCAATACTGACTAATGTCTGAATGTAAAGTTAAATGGGAGTTCGCCCTACACTTATGAATTTGACAAGGAAGGGATCATTTTTCAAAATACATGTAGGCTAAAACACAAGCAGCTTCTCCTGAAAGGCCACTGCCATCTACTTTTTATCAGAAAACGGTATGATCTAGTAGCTCTCTTACACTTTCTCATGTGCAGATAGTTTTACCCTTGGAAGAAAACAAGAATTTATTTTATGGCACTTGCAACACAAATAGGTCATGAAAGTACCAAAGAGTAGAGGTGTTATTACTAGTGATTATCATGCAAATAAAAGAAGGAAAAATAAAGACAACAGACGTTTGATAGAAAAGAAAGAGCAAACCATAACAGAGCCCACGCCAACCACCCAAAATAAAGACCAATTTCAGCAGGGATTTCAGACTACAATATAATAAAGCAATCTAAGCAGTAAAATAACATTTTTTAATTCAATTTACTTCATTATTAAAGCAAAGCAGAAGTCAGTCCTTATTTGAGGGATCACCTTACACAATTATAACATAACATATAATGATTCACACAGAAACAATCCCTGTAAAAATAAAATTGTGCTTTGAACTTTTACAAAACCACTAACACACACAAAGTAAAAAATAGACATTTAATATGAAAGTATGATAAATTCTGTTGAAATCTAACACGAAACTGTCTTCCATCTAAAATAAAAAGAGTACAAAATTTCTTTTGTAAATGAGAAACAATTAAACACAATTCACATTTCAACAAATAGTACAGTATTCCTTTCGTAAAAATGAGACGTTTAGACACCAACCATCTCGGCCTTTTGAAGGGAAAGGCAAGAGCACATTTGCAGCTCACCGAGCATAGATAAAAATAACAAAGGGTAGTATAACATTGCAACTGCATTAGCAAACTATAAGCAAAAAAGATAGTAAATTAATAAATACATGTATACCTAATTTTAATAAACTAAAGCAGTGACTTCAAGTTGCAAAAGCACACTGAAGTCCCATAATGTTCTACATTCCAAATGCTAAAAAAAAGCTAGTCCCTCACAACATGAGGATGTGATTTCTGAAATGGTATCAGCAGTCAATATTTGTTAGTTGATATACAGATCAACGGGATAGCTATGATCCTGGCTGGGTTTTTTTTGTTTTGTGTGTGTGTGGGTTTGCTGTGGATTTTTTTAGGGGGGGGGGGGTTGAGGGGGCAGGGTATTTAAGGTAAATATCACTTGAAACTGTTTGAGGAAAAACACAAAACATAATACAACAATACCCGTTGCACACGGCAGAACGAACCAAAGTCAGTAAGAAACTACCTCACTTCAGTACAACAAATCATAGCAAAGCAATAACAAACAAGTTGTCTGGGATAAAATAACATCTCTGAGGAAACGCTCAAGCAGACACATAGGAGCAAGAGAAAGAAAAAAGCCACTGAAAGCAAAGCTGGCTTTTCTTAATACTAAAGATGTACACTTGTGTGCCCCTACACGACAGTGGGACCAACAAACATAAGTGCACTAATACACAATCATGCAGGCTCACTTCCCGCCAAGCCTCTTGTTTTGAGATACGGAAGGGCCAGAGGGAGGGGGGGGGGGGGGTTGGACAAATGATTGGTTACTGCCCTCTCATCATTTTAAATGCTGGATTGACAACGAATAATCAAAAACTAACCAAACAAAATAAAAAAGGAAAAGAAACTGAAACAAAACTGAACACTTCAAAAGGGAAAGAAATTGAAACAAAACTAAACACTTCAAACAGGTAAGAAATTGAAACAAAACTAAACACTTCAAACAGGTAAGAAACTGAAACAAAACTAAAAAAAAAAAACCCATCGTAAGAACACTGTGAACCAAATATCAAAATAAACAAGCGAGTCTTTGACAAGTTCAAAATTCACCACTTTTACGCTTTCCTTCTGCTGCTGCCCCAGCTAGACCTCAGGTGCTATTGATTATTATTGAAAGTACTAGACCTTTTTCAACCCAAAAAAACACCACGGAATTTTTAAAAATATATAATCCTGTGAGTGTAGCAACCCTCACCTATCAAGCAACCACATGAATGCTGTTGGTTTCTGAAATTACTCTTATTCTTATTATCTACATTGACCACACTGTCAATTGCTGACATTCTGTTCTCAATTCAAGAAATCAGTGAACTACTACATGGGAAAAAGGAAGCCTGACTGAAAGTGTTTGAGGGTAGCATGGGTCCTTTCCAACACAAAGGCTCAACCACTCCCTAACTGTACATATCTCTTGTACAGCTGGGGCAAATAAGTCGAGCCATAAGAAAACATTTCAAACAAACCCTGGGCAAGAATAACCATTAAAGATTTGAACCAAAGCATCCCATTCCAGTGCCCCAAATAACCAATTAAGCTAACAACAGGATTGTAAGAAGCCAAGAACTTTATTGCAAAAAGCAAAAGGCGCACTTTTATCACCACAAATTAGATAATTTTCAAATTTACACAAAAATGCATTTTGAAGTCCATGGCTGAAGTGAATGGCCCCAACACAGACCTATACAACAAGACCAGACAAGAAGGATTGAAAGAATAATATACATCTAGCAGGCCAAGCATTTGCTCCCTAGCAGAACACAATCCTAACTCAGAAACAGGGTTGCCTATGCCAATCTCCCCCCCACGCCTCCTCCCCCAAGTGACCAGCAATGGCATGCTCCTGTTCAAAACGAATCTTGTATCATACCAATGACAAACCTCCCTGCATGAATCACTGACGCATCCCCTTATTCTTTTCCTTAGACTGAAGTAGAAGGAAGAAATATGTAGGAATGACTAATTTCTTTTGTAATCAATCCTATGCATCTTCCATTTCACCCTTCACAACTTTACAAAGATTTTAAGCTGCTGTGGTGCAGTTCCAGTAGGAACAGACAGGCATTGTCATTCAGAACATAACTCTAAAGGGAGTAATTGGGAAGAACCTTATCGTACGATACTAAGAGAACAGCAGATTCGATCCTGCATCTATCGAAAAAGACGAAAGCAAAGATATGACTGCCTGGGGCAATGAGGTCCCTTTACTAAACTAAAAAGTTGCGTTTTCTCAAATCTTACTTCTTTTTATTTTTCACTACAAAATCAAATGAATCAAAACACAAATAATGACTGAAAGTTATAACTTTATGATAAAGTACAGTCTAACCTGCTATAGCAACCATCAGTCCAAGACAACCACCTGTATAATCGACCACTCCCCATTTCCCCCCTGCATTTTTTTGGGGGGGGTTATAAACTATGACACTATCCATGTGAACCATATGCTTACCATGGCCATTTTTCTCTTCTCCTTAACAATGGGTGGTTGTCTTAGACAGGTTCAATTAAATTTAACAAAAAAGATCAACAAAATTTATTTTTTCAAACTAAAAAACCAAACAAAAACAAAACAGAATTTTTAAACACTACCATAATTTCAGGATGGTTTTAAGCTCAACTGTTTCACCCAAAATGGGACAGATCTGACCCTTGCACCAACAAGCCAAGAGTAACCTTTCTTAACTTTCAAACAGCTGGTCTTCAATAAAATGTAGTTGACACATGAAAGCTCACAGCCCCTTCCTCCAAAAAAAATCAAAACAACTAGTCTGTCTTGGAAAAGCAGAAACGCCAATTTTCTCATATATGTGGAATTTGACGATTATCATGCTCCCATACCAGACCATCAATGATTTATTTATAGAGGCACCAGCCATCCATGTCCAGGTGCTGTTTTAGCCTCTTTCTCCCATACCATTTGACACCAACAAAGGATGTGATTTTTGTATCAACCCAACACACAGAGAGGTGTGCCTTATGTAGGCCTAAATCCCCTTTACTGCACTCCCAACAATGCCGAGCTTCTTCTTCCCAAAATAAAGGTAGATCATATCCAGCATTTATAGAAACAGTATTATCACAATCACAGCATACAATAGGAAAACAGAACATGTCTAACAACAAAAATAACCCCTACTTATAAATTTCGGAACAAAAAATGTGGTTCCAGGAGTACTGTCCCTTTCGATCCTGGGATGACTACAGAGGTCTTTGTCTGCCTCAAAGGACAAACAACATGGACTAGTCTCACAACATTACCATTTGCCCACATAGAATGACAGCACCTAAGTGAATTAATTTCTAAACAGATTCTCTAAACTAAAAAGTGATCCTTAATATTTAAAATGGCAGTGAAAGCTTTGTCTTCAAGATACCTACACTAAATGGCAGTTGCCTTTTTCCCTTCAAGAAACCTAAGAAAGGATTTAAAATTCTCAAACCCCAAAAAGCTTAAAGCTTAGCTTTACTATCAGGGTCTTGGGTATGTACTCTTGAAAAAAAACAAGAAAACAACTAATAAGCCTCAGCTTATTTTCCTTACTCCTCCAGAATTTCTTTTTTTAACTAGTCAGGATATTTCTATTTTGACCGTCATCTGATCTCAATGTGAAAAAGAAATTGAACTAGGTAAAAGGTGTATGATTGTGGGGGTGGGAGAGAGGTGGAAGGGGCGTGGGGATGACACTGCAAGAGTGGAGGCTTGGCGGGCCCATTACCTGCGGTGGGTACAGAGTTTCCCGGACATGAATGCTCACTTTTTTCAACTCATCCACATACAGCAGCATGGCCTCCTCGCTTTCCATTTTACCCAAATCGGTCCACGCCTCCCTGTCGCAAAAACATCGCAATAAGAAGAACTCATTAGGATGGAAGTTTACTGTTTTAGCAGAGGGAGGAGTTTAACGGCCTATTTAATACAAATGGATCATTACATATATATGATATATATTATATACATCTAAAGTCAGAGAACTACCTCCCCCCCCAAAAAAAAACACATCAAAAAACAGGCACGAGTGATGAGTGATGGGAAGAAGAAAGAGGCACTACATTAAAGGAAATCATAAATGAACATCAAAGCACAAATTATGTCCCTGTGCTTTCCACTATTAGAATACAAGAGATGCATCTCCAGCTGATGTGCCTTGCATTATTTGTCACCTCCTCTCACACACCCCTCCCAACTCTCTGTGGCAAGTAGACATATTTAGCACCAGTTTCAGCCTTAGTGAGTACATGAGGAGGGATGATTGACAGAAGAAGCAGTAGAATTTAAAAGTATAAAGTCTTGATCCAAAAAACAGCAAGTGGCAGCTTACAACAGAAAGGCAAGGCATTCTGCTTTGTTAGAGAACCTAAAGGAAAATGGTATTCCGGAATTTTTGTATGCGCCTGTACAGAATTTAATTTTGGTCAGTCAGAACAAAATTGAGGTTCTTGTTACATTTTTGGCAGTATTTTCTCACAAAGCTACAACACTGTTTTATACCTCAACAGAAAGGGAAATGAAAATGTAGAACCAGTTTAAAGTATACAGCTGGACCAAAATGTCAAACAAATCATAATTCAAGGCAGATCAAGCAAACAGCACCAAAAAATGTGTCTGATTTGAGAAAATTTACACATATTATAAATTTCCATTAGTTTTTTGCACAATCAGCTGAACTTCAAAATCATTGTCACACAGCCACAAATTGAAACAATGCACAATTGAAAACACCCTCTCCTCATTCATGTTCGAAAGAAAAGAGGAGTTTGCTGTACATAACTATCAACAAACCATTTGAATAGGTATAGATATCTATCCCATAGGAAAACATTGATTGAACACCTTCTAATATAAGAGAATGCAAGTCATACTTTGAACATACAGGGTCCTTTCCGGTGTTGATTTGGAAGTGGTAAAGCATCGCATTCTCATTGACTGGTGACACGGGCCAATTGGCAAAACTGGACCAACTTACTGGCTGGTGCCACTAGCTAGTACTCAGAGACAACGGGTTAAAAGACAAAACGGTTGACAAATTTCAGGTGTAGACTGTAGCTCTTTCAAATCGGTTCAATTTATCGAGAATAGAATTCATGACCACTGGCGAATGAGAAAGCCAGATACAAGTTGTCATTTCGTTTCTTTACCATTTCTTGCGATTGACCAAATCCCAGAAACCTGGCTTTGGAGATGTGCAGGGTCCTTCTGTGGCTTGCTTGAAATAGCTGTAAAATTTGAGCATAAGCTCATGGGAAGGCTGGAAAGAACCTGGTAAAACAAGACAGGAAAATTACCTAGAGCTTACATTACTAAAATTGAATTATTAGGCCTTATTTTTTAAAGCAAAGGCCTACAGGATTTGAACATGTGAAAAATAGATTAAAATATAGACCTATGCCTAATTAAAAAACAAAACAGAGCAACTTTTGAGAACAAGAAGCTCTTACTTTCGCACAGTATCAAAATACCACCACAGTTGAATAATTTTAATTAAGCATGCATCGCAACTGACTTTTCATCAAAACAGTCTGTGAAGTTTCAAGTTTCCAAGCACACTGATGATGAGTGAATGACATTTAAAATCTCAACACAGGAACTTACTGACTCCAAAATTCTCTCACACATTAAACACAGCTCTGCATACACCTCAGACACTAACACACAATCTGTCAGAGAGGATGTTTGCAATAATTTATGAGTTCTGAAGTGCTGGCTCTACATCAAATTGTGACTAACAGATCAAACTGATTGATGGACAAGAACAAATTTGCAACAACAGAACAGTTTGTCATTGGTAGAAATGAAAGTGGCTTTTTGCATTTTTGAAGATCAAAACATCTTTCAATACAACTATAGTCCCAAATTCAGTTGTCAAAATCAAATGAAAATGACTAACATTCCATCATAAACTTGAATCAGATTTATAATGGCCCCTCAGTCAGTCTCCACAACCAGTGCATGGTATTTAGCTGCCATGTGACCATGCAGCTGACCTGGACTGACCATGTGGCCAAAGCCCAATCACATGGCTTACTGGAGTTTGAAATTTGAAGTAGGTCATCATGTTCTATCATGACTGCCTTACTCATTCGCTACGTATTATTTTTGGCTTGTGGAAGAATTTTTTTTGGGAGGGCGAATGAGATGATGACTAGTGGGCAGTTAAAAGGTCTTTGGGGCCACAAATTCAAATAAATATTAACATATTATACCAATATTTTCAGTATGGATTGTAGAATACATCTGTAATGTTTATTTACATATTTTTCAACTTTGGTTCCTGTAAGAGGCGATTATGCAACACAATTTTGATTGGATGCGGATAAAATTTGAAAATAAAACTTTATAAATAAAATAATCTTTGGTGAAACTAAAAAAATATATGCTTGTACCTAGTCAAATGATACATCAAAATAACCATAAATGAATATAGAACTGGAAAATATTGAAAAGTTTGCAGTTATTTACATGCATTCCATAATATTTGTACATGATTTGGATCAATAACATCCGATATTGAAAAAAAACCAAAACTTTTTATAATCTTGAAAAACGATCACAAACAGAAAAAAACCCACTCTTATCTTATATAGATTGAATTATTCAGAATTGCATTTGGAATAAACCTATGTCTTGAGTGGCACTTTTTGTGTAATTTCATCAAAAAGTACTGATTTTGGGGAGAAAAAAATATTTTGACAATTTAGATCTAGACTTAGATCTGGCACTCAAAAATATTGATTTCTCAATAACAGCATTGGCAATATAAGTCCAATCGTATCTAGATCTAATCTATATTATAAAAAAAGAGTCCTACACATCTTTAGTGGGCAAAATAATGATAGATTTAGTTGTGTAAAATTAATTAAGACTGGTGTCAGGGCTAGCTATAATTTTGGCATCGCGATAAAACAAAGTCGAATAAACTACGAAATCGCGTTTCAAAACGGAATCTAAACTTCCGATTTTCAGTGGAAATGCTTGACCCGGAAGTCAACATTATATTATAGACCTTTATTTTAACATGGACATTATGTGGATAGGAATAGAATCCAAGAGCTAAAACTGAAGATCGGTTCTCGAGCCGCCGGGGGCGGCTTAGCGTACTGACGGCACTTTAGCCGTGCCGCCCCCCACGGCTAGGCGTAGCGAATGAGTTAACAAACCATCTCTTCCAAGCGAGTACTTTGATACAACAAGTTAGCTTTGGAATTTTTGCTACTGCAACACTTAGGAGGCTGTCTTGCCACTTGTTAAGAGCTTTTAAAATTAGAAAAGGACTTTCGTAACATTTAGTACAAGCAGCCATCCCAACAAACACTTGTGTAATAAAGAAAGAACCTGGTCTAGAACTAATTCTAAACCTGACCCAACCCCTACACCTACCCTTACGGGGTTACCTCTACCCCGACCCCTAACACTCTGTGTTATTCACAGTGGTCGCTCGTTACAGAAGTCCTCCTGTTTTTAAACAAAAGTACAATATTATACGGTAATAGAACTCGTAAAAAACTAACGACCAGGTAACAAAAAAGGTAAAGGGAGTAAGTCGTAAAGTAATTCAAAACTACTAGAACTTTTTAAAATGCAAACCTCCACCATACAATATTATAAGATCGAGCTTCCAGCAGCCGATGATTTTCACGAAATTTTTTCCATTCGAAGTGGCTAGCCGTACTTAGTACGGTACTTAGATCTAGGTTTGGCCCTATCGACTCAAGCCTGTTTAGTACACAGGTCTCATTAGATCTAGATCTAGTATATATAATTCAGGTTAAAAAACATGCAAGTCAGTAAGGCATCTTTTGGTTTTGTCTGAAATACAAATACTTTAGGCATTGCAAACTAAAAATTTCATTTACAATTCAGCCATCCCGTAGGCTAGCCGTACTTATCTTAGGCCCTATTTACAATTCAGTAGGCCTATTTTTTGTAAATGGTCAGTCTAGCCAACATATTAAGAATAAGTACGGCTAGACTGCGAGTCTAGCCGTATGCGAGTCTAGCCGTACTTAAGTACGGCTAGCCTATTCCTTTTCCATTTGCGGAAATCTATAAATTTGTGGAAAACTGGAAGCACTATTATTTTTAATTAAAACTCGGCTTGAAGAAATCAGAGCAAAAAAAGTAGTGCAGAACGGGGGGAAAAATAGATCTTAGAATAATATAATAAATAATTTTTCTTAGTCCTTTTAATATTAATTAGAAAGAAAAACTGAGGTCTTCAGGTTAGTTTGGCATTGGCAGGCTGAAACATCATTCTCAACTTTAGACATTATATTAACATGGATAAAGTATCAGAAGAGAAATCCAATCATTTCATTAACTGTGTTGCAATAGATTGAGTATATTCCAGGAAATACCAAGACTAAGACTAGACTAACAAACAGTACATCTAGAGTCCATCTAGTTTTTAAAATCTAAACATTTAATGGTAATGATTATTATGCAATTTTTTACACACATCCAAATCAGGCTCCAATAGAAAAAAAAAATCCAGTGGTTGTGCAGAATTTAGTTCAAGAAGTGGACTCTATTGTCATGATTAAGTAGCTTAAAGTAAGTCTGTTGTCTCCACTCTATTGTCAGTGGAGTTTATCATGCAGATCTATAATCTAAGCTAGGTCTTAGATTATTCTGTGACTCTAGATTTAAACATTCGATAATTTTTTACGTCTTGCCGAATAAAAATAGGAGAGAGCTCTATTCAGACTGGTCCACCAATTAGATTTTTTATCTCTATTCGGATTTGAGTCCGAATATGGCATGGGTTTTGTCTATTCGGACTCGGGCGCCCGTAAAAAGATGTTGGGAAGATTGAAGAATACCGGACCACTTGTACATTATTATTGCGCAAGAATGTGGGGTAGGTGGGGCGGGTGGTTGGGGTGGAGGAGGGGGGAGAGGGGGGGTTTCCCCCTGACAAAATTTTAATGATCTACCAGTCCGAGATTCTCCATTGAGAGACATTAAAAACGGGAAAATTATGAATTCCTAAGGTTGAGACATAGAGAGGCAAAGTCAGTCCGCTGGTCCGGTATTCTTCAATCTTACCCTAGTTAATTCTGGTTTTACATAAAATCCGAAGACGACAGTTATGTAACCTTGACAAAGTTAGTCACCTACGCTTCGGCCGGGTCCGCAAAATCGCCCGTAAACGGGGACCAAATTTTCGCCTCGCGGGAAAGCCCGATTGGCATTGCTAATCAATGTAACAACAGTGGGGGGAGGGGGGGTTTCAGGGGGGCTAGCCCCCCTGGCAACAATAATTTAAAGACACTGACACACACATATATTATAAACAATAACATGAACGGACAATCGGGGTAGATACTCGCCAAGTCGCGAGCAGGGCCGAGGGGGTTGCAATTATGCAAATGAGCTCTCGTGTGCATCTTTAGCCCTCCATTGTACTTTGCCGGACCAGGAGTAGGCCTAGCCTAGGCCAGCGGAGTTGCGAGCAAATAAGAATAGTGGACCACGTGATTAGATTGACCAATTAGCCTCAAGATGTCAGGGTCATGGGTCAAAGGGCACGGTCGTGATGACTGAAAAACCCGGTAAGAGACGTCAGTCGATTGCTGGCAGTTGAAGAGTGAGGACGTAGAAAACTGAGTAGGAGAGTGAGTAGGGGAGCTCGGAAACGAAGAATAGCGGGCCACTAGGCACCAGGGGCGCCATAGCGAAAGTAGTTCCGACCGGTGGTCCGGTAAAGTACAATCTTACCACAATTTGAATTATAACAAAATAACTACGAAATTGGGGTATTTTTTTACTTTCCCTCCCGTCTCACACTCAGCTACCAGTTGTCTATTTTCTACTAAATATTGATGCGCTGAACACGAATATCAACTTCATTTCCGTCGCAAATTAATAGTTTTTGAAATATTTGATTGTTTTTAACCGAGATAGACATGCTTTGGACCAATCGGGGGGTTCCAGGGGAAAAAAATCTGGGGGGTTACAGGGGGGCATGCCCCCCTGTTTTTACACCCATAATTTGATATTTTACAGTTAAATTTGAAATTGTCTTGAAAATAATTGATTTGCGACAGTTTTAGTGGCTTTATGTGTGATCTGCAGCAAACAGTACAGCAGTTTGACCCCTGAAACAGTGCATCTGTGTGCGGCAGTGAAAGTAAAAATTTACCGAAATTGGTAGTAAATCTGACTGCAGAAATGATTTCTACACTCAAAAACACATCGGGTAGCCAAGTTTCTCTCGAACACTCGGATTAGTTACCGAGATATCGTCGATTTTCTTACAGAATCTGCTACTGCGTGGTCCACTTTTTAGGAGTATTTTCCTATATGTGGGTCATCCATATTTTGCCGACCTTTACAACCCCATAACTTTTTTCATGAACCTATTCTCAAAATTCAAGAAGCATGATTATTAGAATTGAAAATTCTTTCTTAGGTACCAAAAAAAAGGGGGCAAAAGTGAAAATTTAAATTTTCATTGGCATTGCTACATTGATATGTAAACACGACTGTCCGCTCATGTTATTGTTTCGCATTTTTGTGTGTTTTCTATCATAGTTTCCAGGGGGGGCAAGCCCCCCTGAACCCCCCTCTCGCTCACCTCGCTTTGCCAGTTGCCGCTGGCTTGCGCTGTGCAAGCGCGAAGTCGCCCGCGGAACTACCTTTTGTCCGCACGCAGAGTACTATTACTATGACTATGAGAGCGTAGTTAGGCTAGGTGTGCGTAGTAATCACGAACCGAGACGGGTGGTCCGGTAAAGTACAATCCAGCCCCCAATAATAGCAGCGTCTAAGTCTAAGTACACGGTAACCGACAACTCTCAGACCTAGATCTAGATCTAGATCTATATAGATCTCTATCTAGATCTAGATTTAGATCTAGATTTAGATCTAGATTTTAGATCTAATCTAGATATCTAGAGATCTAGATCTAGATCTTGATCCAGACTTGGAATTTAGATTCTAGATTCTAGATCTAAAATCTTGATCTTTACTCTAAATGACTTAAAACGAGGCATGAGATTCTCGATCGACAATGTCAATAGACTTGATAAGGTACCCTTGATAACGTAAGTGTACAGCTTTGTTGTATTGTTATTGTTATTGTTGACTGAAGACTGGACTTGACTTGATTCGCTTGATGAGTTGAGACTTGACAACTAGATTATCAACTGGACAATGCTTTTCATTTTTATTTTACCATCAACTTCTCAAGCTATCTCTACACAAATCTGAATATTAGAAGGATACTCTGTAAAATTCATGTCGTACCATTCTTGGGCAAACCACGAATTACTTTCACCGCTGCCTCAAACTTATCCTTTGGACTCGACGCCATGTTTGTGTACAATCACAAAATCGAAAGTCACGTGATTAGGCCAGCACATTGGCCAGGAAATGGGAAGGCCTAGATTATTGACAGAAGTAGAATGGGGATTCCCAAAAAGATGCCAAACTGAACAATTAATTCAAATAGTAGGCAGCCTCGATAGCAGGAAAGGAGTGTATGACGAAAACGCAAATGATCGGAGGTGGCAAGGAAAATCTATCCCATATCGCCTGGCCTCGAAAAATACCCGAATCTAGGAGGACGTTACGATGACAAAGACAATATCGCTTTTGCTCATCTCGCAGGGATAACAATTAATTGTCTGTTGTTTTTCATTGAAATGGCAGTGGTGTTACAAAGTTATGCGGGTCGCCGACTCAAAAACAAGTGCACTCACACACGTACCCACAGCAAGAAAAAAGGAACTACATATTGTGTGCTTAACACCTCCACTTGTAAATGAGCGTCCCCCCC